GGTGTGGATTAGACTCCGGCTGCCACGGCGACAGCATCACGACTCTCCTGTGTTTAAAGCGGGCGGCACATGTGTGCATGCGGCTCTACGGGAAACAAGGTCGAGCGGCGAGACGATCCGGCGAACACGGTGTTATAAAATCACAAATCTGTATGTTTATGATGTTTACAGAATAAGGTTTTGTAATGTACTCCTGCTGCATACAGCTCTACGTACAAGATTTCTAAACATCTATAGATTTGATCATATCTATGCATTTGAGCATAATTAAGGAATTGTATATTTCTAATATGAGCTTTTAAGTCACGCATTATGGATGTGCACTGTTTGGCTAATGAGATTTCCCAAAATGCACAATATGAGACCATTAATTTTTTTGCCGATCTGTACAAAAAATGTCCTTTTTTTGTTTGTTTTTGAGTTGAAATTCAAAGGTATCCAGGCATCATTGTTTGTACTATTGCTCTTAATCATGACTTTTTCTCACTTTGACTTTGTTTACAGGTTTTTTTGTTTACAGATAGCCCACTTTTGAAAACCATATGCTTATTAAAATCATTTTTTGTACAGCTTGTGAAGGTTGAAGCACTTTTCTAAAAACAAACGTTTCAAGTCTTACTATGTATAGATCACCTCAGTCAAGCTGCATTGTGACAAATCATTGCTTCGTATCATTTACTAAATGTTTACAGATTAAATATTGCTTAAAGTAAGCACATTTTGTCTCGCAAGAAACGTATCGGACTGTTAAATAACTTTGCCTTCATTTTGTAATATGAAACTATTTGATTCTGTGTGCTGACGAGCAACTTTTAATGAAGAAACACTTTTATTGTGGATACTGTTGTATAATTAGACACTATTATATGAACGGCCACTGCATTTCTACAAAGGTTTTTGGCACAGATGAGAGTGAGTTTCAGAAAGGGTTTTCTATCAGAGATTTATGAGCAAACATGTCTTTCATTTTATTGTAAATTGTGCTGATTTTAATTGTCACGCCGATCTTTATGGCTACGTGTTTTTGGAAAATTAATAAAATGAAAACGACTCTTCCGATATGATGTCTTCATTGAGGTTTATGTGGTCTTTATTTGCAGTACATACTAATACAAGTCTTTAATTGTTATTAGTAAAGCAGCTGTCATAAAGCATATTTATTATAACATATATAAGCAACTTTTACAGGAAACGCCCGCAAGTGAACAGAAGAAGGTTCCTGAAGATGTTTAAGAAAGAAAGGAAACCGACTCTGGGGAAGCACATCTCTTGGAAAGTTACATAATTTAATACTTATTATTATACAAATGGTATTGAATTATATTTATTTTTTATATATCTATTTATATTTGTGTTTTTTATATGTATTATTATTATTATTATACAAATGGAATCAAATGTTTTATTTATTATTTTTATTATTATTGAATTATAACATTATACAAATAAAATGTTTGTTTACATATATATATATATATATATATATATAGGTATTTTTTATATTATTATTATTTTTATACTAACTAATATTTTATTTATATTTAATCATTATTATAAAACGGATAGTTCCGGTCCTTGATTCTGATTGGTTGAGCCGCGTTCAAAGCTGTTGTAAATTACTCTACAAACATACACCTTTGTTTACTTCTGTGCACTTTGTGGCAACCATAACTGTTTCTGAGGAACTACATTGTTTGGTGGAAGAATACTGTATTTATTAATATCATTACACTTTATTTGCTCCGTTTTATTTTGTGAGACCTAACTACGTATATGGAATAACCGTTTTCCGCTTCGCGTCGTGCCTAACAACGCCCCTTAGCTGTTATAAATTCACTGTAACCCACGGCTTCTTGGGGCTTATTGCGTTATTATGATACAAATAGTATTGCATGTTTGTTATTTGTATATTTATTGTTATTGTGATGCAGTTCTCTAATCGTCCACTGGGCCGCAGTAACTAACAGCGCAGGGGAGACTCGGACGCGTCACTGCTGCTTTCTACCAAAAGGGGGCGCAATATCGATGTAAACTTTTAGGACGCTTGTGGTGTTGTGGTATAATTCTTTATTGATCTAATAATTAGATAAAGCCTGTATATACTTTTTTTGCGGGAACTATACCTTTACTTTGCATAAATTACTGGAGTTAATCACATTAAAATGTATATAAAAATATACTGTTAAAGTAGTAAAATCCTCAGAGCTGTGCAGAGTGAGTTTACAGCAGGAGTGAGTGGCAATGCTGTTGTTTCCCCCTTTTCTCTCCCATCCCCCTTTATGCCCACGTGCTGCTGCCCCACAATCCTTCAGAGGTCAGCCGACGGGTCACACACCATTTCATTCAACCGGGGTCAGAGGGGTGTGGCTTTCTGCTGAGGGGGCGGGGTGATGTGGGAAAGTGTCCAATGAGAAGGGTCTTAGAATACATGCCGGATCTTCTTTCGCTCTGTTGTAAGAATCTCATATTGATTTGATCTCTTATTGATCAGATTAGCATATTAGCAGCTGCTGCTTCCAAAATGAAATGGAACTAATGACATGGTTTTTCCGCAGATACAGATAACTGCATGATGGTGATGCAGCAAACTGAGCGAGGTTTACTAAACTACAGTAGAATTTATTTAGTCCCACTTTTTATTGCAAGATTTATTCAGTTTTTACTGAGACATAATTATTAATGCTGATTATTATTTTATTATTATTACTGATCATTATGTTATATTTTATTATTATTTCTCATTATTCATATATATATATATACATGCATATGTATGCATATGTACAGTGGGTACGGAAAGTATTCAGACCCCCTTAAATTTTTCACTCTTTGTTATATTGCAGCCATTTGCTAAAATCATTTAAGTTAATTTTTTTTCCTCATTAATGTACACACAGCACCCCATATTGACAGAAAAACACAGAACTGTTGACATTTTTGCAGATTTATTAAAAAAGAAAAACTGAAAAATGCTCAGTATTTAGTAGAAGCACCCAAGAGAGAGAGGGAGAGATAAATGAGATGTATGAGATATAAATGTCAATTTATAATATAATTACATTATATATTCCTGTATAGTTGACTTCTGGGAAGTTTTATACAGTGTGACATGCATTAAATATAAACAAGACCAGATATAAAAACATTTTGCCTTTTTTATGTGTGCTGTTTATGATTTTAATTGAAAGACTAAATTATATATTTGTTCTGTTATGAATTCCTTTGTCAACGCAGGACCATTTAAAATGAACTAATGAAGGCAAAAAAATTATAAATAAATGGCAAAAAACTTGAAGATCAATTATAGGATAAAAACCACAGATGCAGCTTTGTGTTTGTAGGAATGGCTGAGTTGAAGTCTGAGGTGAGTTTGCTGTTTCTCTGTGTTTGCTGACTGTGGGAAACTGAACTCAGGCTCTTTTCTCCTGATATTCACTAAACAGATCCATTGTTCTTCCTGACCTGTAGTCCGAGCAGAACTATTGTCCGGAGGGAGAGGAGGTCACACTTCTGCTCCACACCGACAGAGCGACCGGAGAGCAGATCGATACTGTTCCTTCAGTCTGCAGCTGTCGAGCTGAACACATCGATACTGGGCAGATCTGGATCTGTTTCATCAGCTGGCAGAAACCAGTGCTGTTAACACTCATTCTGTCTGAAATAACTGACCAACACACACACACACACACACTCACACACACACTC